ATTTTCATAAACTTCTTTGATATTCTTTGTGACTACAGAGGCGTTGTTTCCCTTCTTGTATTCAAATATCATTACATGCCGAATGTGTGTCTCGTCGTGTGCCATCACTATAAGGGATTAGAGTATACTAAACTTTACACATTAGGTGACGTTTAAGCGATTCGTTTAATTATTATACGTGATGTGTGTTTTTTGGGGGGGATGTGGTTAATGAAAGTGTTCCAAAACGCGACATTAATTTCTTGACGACCTAATATAAACTATTTTCATGCATTATTTGCACGTGACTGAAGACGCCTGAGTATGAAAATCCTTGAGCCATATCTTGGATCTAGGCCACAGAAGAAAATATTGTTTTGTTCTTTTCTATCAAATAAGTCGGAATAATAATGACGTAGTTGAGCCATTCAATGTCTGAGCCAATAGGCCCGGCATGGCCAGGTGGTTAGGGCACTCGACTCGCAATCGGAGGGTCGCGGGTTCGAATCCCCGTCCCACCAAACATGCTCGCTCTTTCAGCCGTGGGGGCGTTATAATGTGACGGTCAATCCCACTATTCGTTGGTAAAAGAGTAGCCCAAGAATTGGGAGTGGGTGGTGATGACTAGCTGCCTTCCCTCTAGTCTTACACTGCTGAATTAAGGACGGCTAGCGCAGATAGTCCTCGTGTAGCTTTGCGTGAAATTCAAAATTTGCCACATGATCTTATTTCATTAACCGATAGAAATAATTTATTACACTTCGTCAAAAGATGGCGGCACTATAGATAGAATAATAATTTTCGGCTTTAATTTTTCTCAGTATTTATCACATTAACATTTCCTTCACGAGATTGTGATGAAGTGGTTTTCATGTAACCATGATTTATAGGTCTTAATGAATACACAAAGCTTTTCACTCAAATAATAGTGTTGATGTAATTAAATAAACACCGAATAGACTTAGAAAAACAAACAAACGTCTTATTAGTATACATCTCACACGTCAGAAGGAATCATGCATCGTTATAGCAAAAGTAATGTTTATAATTTGGCAGTTTGTCATGTTACTTTTTTGTTGCTTCATCATGTCTCCCAGCTTCATAACATATTTTATGTTTATATACAGATATTAATTTAAACATGTTAATGTTTAAAAAGCAATCCCTTCTGATATCAAATCCCAGTATTTTGTCAAAATTAATCAAATTTACTCGAGAATCGAGTGTTCGATAAGTCACTTGCAGAAGGGTTTAGGCCCGAAACGTTGTGTCCGATTAAAGTTATCTTAAAATATATTACCATCGTATCTATTATTTGTTTGTTTTGTAAACCTTTTAATTGTAACATTCACACGCACCATGAGAAACATTGATAATATGGAACTCGAATTGGCCTAACAGTTAGCATTTCGATCTGTCGACTGAATGATCCAAGATTCAAGAAGTTGATATAGGTCATAATAAGTTTTGAAAGAAGAATAACCTGACTAAGTATTTCGGGTCTTTAGAAACATCTCGGATCACAAAATACTTTGTTCTTGACAATGATTTGTTTAAATATCTTATGCGCTCATGAACAGCAAGGCATTCCACCTTGGAGGTTATAGCATGGTTGACTGATTATGAACAACAATATATTCTGTTTTGGAGGATATATCTTGATTGGCTGATAATGAACAAGATGTTCCACCTAGCAGGATATATCTTTGTTGACTGATAATGAACAAGATGTTCCATCTAGTATGGTATATCTTGGTTGACTGATAATGAACAAGATGTTCTATCTAGTATGGTATATCTTTGTTGACTGATAATGAACAAGATGTTCCATCTAGTAGGATATATCTTGGTTGACTGATAATGAACAAGATGTTCTATCTAGTATGGTATATCTTTGTTGACTGATAATGAACAAGG